CTAATACTGTACACACTGAGAATAATAACGCTGGCTGATCATAACCCAGCAACCTCAAATTCAACTCACTTACATTTAGTATGCACATACACTATTGAAACACTTCAGTGCAAAATAAAACGTAATAATGCTTATTACTCTACAATACGGGCATAAAGGTAAGATTAGAAAAGGGTAGAAGAAACAACTCTTTGCCTTTCTTGTTCTAAGTCACAAAATGTAAGGAAATTCAGAGCAATTTCAGATTACACTGTTCCAAGGATCTTATTCAAGAACCACTGAAAAGGCAACTATTCTCAGTCCGTGGCGTAACAAGTGAAATCTAATTCCTAGCGTCACCGGATCCTGCCCTCAATCACCCGCCTTTCTTCTAGTCTACTAGGCCACGGTGCCAACAGATCAAAACCTGGAAGGAGGATATTAGATGTGGATAAAAGTGACAAGTGTCGCCCAGGTATAAAGTTAGAGAGATTTAGAGAATACCTGCCAGCTAAAAGCCTTCCACTCCATTCTGATTAAACATGGTAGGCTGAACACTTGCTTTCACCTTCATCCACTTCTGAAAAATAGACTAAGAGTAAACAGGGATCCGTGAGAGGAGGGACCCACAGAGGAGAGAGTCCGAAGGAGTGTGCAACATGAGAGCGAAGAGAACCCCAGGGTGAAAGCTGTTATCAGGCAGAGAGAGCAGCTAGGCCAGGGAGGAGCCCAGAATGGAGGGAGGGCTGTGGTGGGGTGATGCCAGATTCCCCAACACATCTGACCACACACAGGAGTTTCACAATTCTGGAGGAGCATTCTGGATGGATTAAAAGAAAAAAAAATACCCAAACCCGTTGCTGTCGAGTGGATTCCGACTCACAGCGACCCTACAGGACAGAGTGGAACTGCCCCATAGGGTTTCCAAGGAGCGGCTGGTGGATTTAAACTGCTGACCTTCTGGTTAGCAGCCGAGCTCTTAACCACTGTGCCACCAGGGCTCCTCACGGTGGATTAGTGATCAGCAAATTGAAAACTATATATGAAAAAACCAAACAAACAAGGAAATCAGTGACTGACAAGTTAAAAAAGTAGTGAAAGAAAGGAAATGTAACTATATTACATTATGTGGCTCAGTTACAAACAATTACATCATCAACACTAAGCTTTGATTTAAGCCAAGATTCTGAGGTAACTCCATGGGGAGGAAGAAAGTTCATGCATATATTCGTGTATAAGTTGTACAGACCGGTGGGAGTGAGAGGGCGTGTGTACGTTTGGAAGGAGGTAGGATAATTCCATTTTTTTCTTCTACAGCAGGAAGCCAAAGGCAGCATCTAAACGGGAAAACTCAAGAATGAGCCACACAAGCCTGAGTTTTTAAAAGTGCCAAGGAGGTTTAACATCAGCAGCAGCTGGAAGAGTGAATGTGGCTGCCTGGTGGTAAGACAGCGGGGGAGTGGGGCACAAGGCTGCTTTGTTCTGTTTCCCACAGCCTTGGGGTGCTATGTGATTTTGTGGAATTATGTACAAGTATTAGCTTGATGAAACATTGAATGAAAAAAAATTCGACTTAACGCTTGCCTGAACCTTCCCTTCATAACTATTCTTTCTTTCTGATCTTAACTGGAGGGTGAAGAGTAACAAGGGTCTTAGTAGCTGCTCTGCGGCCTCGCTGCAT